GAGAGAGAGAGAGAGAGAGAGAGAGAGAGAGAGAGAGAGAGAGAGAGAGAGAGAGAGAGAGAGAGAGAGAGAGAGGTATGGATATCTGATTGCTTTCTGGTGGATTGTTTGTCTTCGATATGCTATTATGCAGGATCATCGAAAGCGGGCTATACAGGGACTATCTGGTGAAGCGCACTCCATCAGAGCAGTTTTTGTACTACTCGCTGCGATGGATATTCGCACTGTTAATTGGTATCAGCACGGGGCTTATTGCGTTTCTCATCAACTTGTCCGCCGAGAACATTTCAGGTCACAAGTTCATGCGAACGACCAACCTGATTGCTTCCCATGGCCCTTTGGTGGCATTTCTTTTCTACACGGGTGTGAACGTTGGCCTCATCTTAATTGCGTCTTACCTTTGTGCTTTCATTGCTCCTGCTGCCGGTGGCTCCGGTATTCCAGAGGTCAAGGCTTACCTCAACGGCATTGACACCCCACACATCATGAGCATGAAGACCTTTGCTGTTAAGGTGCTTGGCAGCATAGGCTCTGTTGCAGGGGGCCTTGCGGTTGGGAAGGAAGGCCCTCTTGTCCACACAGGTGCTTGCGTCGCTTCTATCCTTGGCCAAGGCGGTTCTCGCAAATATCATCTTACCTGGAAATGGCTGCGTTTGTACAAGAACGACCGGGACCGGAGAGATCTTGTGTCCTGCGGAGCGGCAGCTGGCGTGGCTGCGGCTTTCAGAGCTCCTGTCGGAGGAGTCCTGTTTGCATTGGAAGAAGCCGCAACTTGGTGAGCAGTGTAGGTTGATGATACATATTGAATCAGTCTGTGAATATGTATTGAATGCTTCAAAACGAATCAAAAAGTTGAAGAATTATTAAAACTGTTTGCAGCATCCTTTTCCTCTCTGTGGATTCGTCTCCGCGAGAAGAGCATCAAGCATCAGGGGAGGAAAACTCCCAACTCTTTTTTTTTTTTTTTTTGAGGTGGAACACCAGCGTGATCCTCTCTCTCTGTCACACGCACTCACACACCTCTCTCTCTCCTGTGTGCGGACAGGGTAGAGGAGGCGAAGAAGGCCAGTGTCATCCTGTGCCGCTGAGAATATCCTAGGTGGCACTGGTCGGTAGCGCTGGGCAAGATACCGCGAAGGGGCTATAAAAGGGTTCTATAGAATCAATACTCTTTGAGACTGCGAGTGGGTGGATTTTTTTTGCCATGCATGCAGGGTGTTCTGTCATTGAGTTGAGCTGAGGCACTCCCCCCCAGTAGAATGGGCCGAAGGCGAAAGGTTTTGTATCTTTCAAATATATGTGGAAGGAAAAAGCAGCCCTTTTTTGTCCTTTCAATTTTGAGAATTTTTGACAGATGTCGTGAAGCACATCCCTAGATCTAGATCGAGAAATGGTTGGTCCAAAATTCGTGAATTATCATGTCGTCGCGGGACTTACTCTCCGTTCCATTTCTGCTTTTTTTTTTTTCATTTCTGCTTGTGTTATGCAGGTGGAGGAGCACTCTTCTGTGGCGGGCATTCTTTACCACAGCTGTCGTTGCTGTCGTTGTTCGAGAGGCTATGGAGTGGTGTAAAACAGATCGTTGTGGGGTTTTTGGGGGCGGCGGTTTCATTATCTTTGACATAAGCGGCAGTACGTATCATTAACCTGGCCCTACTCTTCAAGTCGGTGCATGCCATCCACTAAAAATAATAATGCTGTTCCGTAGTGTCTGCCGTGTGAAAGGACGTTTGCAAAAAAAAAAAAAAAAAAAAAAAAAAGAAAAGGAGGACGTTTGCCGTGTGGTCGCGCGGCGGGTAGGATTCCCATGCTGTTTCATTTGTTTGTCCCGTGGGAAAAAAAAGGGGTGTCTAGTCCGAATAGGCATTAGGCCCGATTAGGGGTATAGTACTCTGTTGCCAAAGTCTAATGCAATCAATAGGAATTGTTAATGCTAATAAAGTAATCATTGTTCTAGAATTTTGAGCCTGGTGTACTGCTGTATTGTTTGTTTGTTTTTTTTTTTTTGTTTTTTTTTCTTTTCTTTTTCTTGCTTAGTATGGAATTAACCAGACAAATTACTCCCAACTAAGAACGGCCATGCACCACCACTGATGCAATCAAGAAAGAGCCACTGCTTTTTTTCTTCTTTTTTTTTTTCCACTTTTTTTGTTCTTTTCATGTCCTTGAGAATTGAAGAAAAAGAGAGGGATTGTCTACATGCATAATAAGAGTTTAACTTCTGAGCGAATCGTGTGGAAAAAGTAGCAAAAGGAGAGAGTAGTAGCCTAGGGCCTCGCTCCATTACTTACCAAATGTTTCTAAAAGGAGAATTGATCTTCTGCTAGAACATGGAAAGATACACTGCCATATTTTTGTCTTTTGTGCACGTGGAGAGTAGAGTAGTGGAGTGAGGCCCCTACTTCAGTACTTCTGCCCCTTTTTTCACTGCCTCCAACGTATGCCAGCTCTCATTACGTCAACATGTCCGAGCCAAGTCTTCTTCTGACAAGGCATGACGTGGCTATAATACATTTTACTAGGACTTTTTTATTTTATTTTATTTTTTTTCAGCATATTACTATGATTGTACTATGATTTTAGAATGCTCGGAATTCCCAAAAAAGAAAAAAAAAAAGAAAAAAAGAATGCTCGGAATTCCTCAGAAACCCAGAGCTGTATGTCTAATGTGCCCAAGAACGTGAGGAGTACCGCTGTGTTGGAGGCCTCAAAAAAAAGTTTGCCACAATGATTTTGAAATCCACATTCTCCCATCTGTGCATGCCTAGTGCTTCTCTCTCTCTCTCTCTCTTTCTTTTTGTGTGGGATTGCCTGCGAGCTCACTCTTCCTGTGTACTCTCAAGGAAATTGGTTGGTGTTGATGATTCCAGCACTTGTGCTCTCTTTTCAGAAGGCGGACTGTCCATCTGTGTCTGTCGTGCCTTGTTGCTTTTTTGCTCTCCGTCAAGAGGCTTCATATGCCCTGTTTGCCGTTGGCGAATCGGTGTTTTGGGCTTGTGATGCCTGTGTCCTTGCTGGCGATTGGTGCGGACATGTGGGGGAGTTAGGCTGCTTCTGACATTCCATTTGTCTGAAACCTTTTGGACAGGTTATATCAATTTTGGCCTCAAAGAGCTTGTTCCGGTGGTCATCATCGGTGTGGTTGGTGGGTGTCTTGGCACCTTGTTCAACGCCATTAACGAGAAAATATCCGTATGGCGGCGCGACATTTTGGGAAAGGACTTCCCTTGGATTCGAGTGGGGGAGGCGTGCCTGGTCGCCCTGTTGACCTCAATTGTGTCCTTCTGGATTCCTTGGCTTGGGCCCTGTAAAAAGTGTCCGGCGAACGAGAATTTTATTTGCCCATCGGCGGAGCACATTGGAAATTTCAAGCAGTTCCACTGTCCCGACGGTCACTACAGCGACCTTGCTGGGCTTCTCTTCAGCACCTTCGACGATGCCATTCGGAATTTGTTCAAAGTGCAGTCGCACAGCGATTTCTCATTCCATGCCCTGTTCATTTTCAATGTCTGCTTCTTTCTTCTTGCGGTCTGCACGTATGGGACCATGGTGCCTTCTGGACTGTTCGTGCCCGCCATCCTGAACGGTGCGACCTACGGGAGAGCTGTCGGGATGGTGATGAAGACGTACTACGGAGTGGAATCGCAGATTGACGAGGGCACATATGCCGTTCTGGGGGCGGCGTCGTTTTTGGGCGGGTCCATGCGGATGACGGTCTCTCTGTGTATAATCTTGCTAGAGCTGACGGGTCAAACGAAGGTCCTACCGCTGGTTATGCTCGTCCTTCTCATTTCCAAGACCATAGGAGATAACTTCAACGAGGCAATTTATGATATTCACTTGCGGCTGAAGAGGATTCCTTTCTTGGAGCCTCGCCCTGACGAATTTATGCGACATCTCCGAGCGAGGGACTGCATTTCGACAAAACTCATCTCTTTCAATGCTGTCGAGAGGGTGGGGACTATTTTTGAAACCCTGGCCACGTATCCGTATAACAGCTTCCCTGTCCACGAACTGCTCCCGAACGGGCAGTCCAGTTTCCAAGGCCTTGTGCTCCGCAACCATCTCCTCGTGTTGCTGAAGAGCAAGAAGAGTTTTCAGGAGTCGTCGACTTGCGAGCCAGAACGACATAAGCGAGCAATCACATCCCACACGCTCATAGATTTCGGCAAACCTGGCACGGGACGCGGCATGACGCTCGATCAGATCACCCTTGATGATGTAGAGATGAACATGTACATTGATTTACATCTCTTTGTCAACTCCTCGCCGTACACGGTCTCGGAGAACATGATGCTGTCCAAAGTCTATACGTTATTCCGGCAGCTAGGACTGCGGCATTTGTGTGTCGTGCCGAAGCCTTCGAAGATTGTCGGGATCATCACGCGGAAAGACCTGCTTCCGGAAGTGTTTGAAGATCGCAAGCTGTCCCATCGACTACATAAGGAAAGTTTCGTCTACTGAGAAACTTGTACTTGTCTACGGAAGGAAGGTAGGCACAACACTGTCGATACGTTGGTTGGAGTCTTGTTGGTTTAGGGATCATCGTAGATGTAATTTCTGTGCTGTACATCGGTTTGTGGGGACCACCTGGATCGCTTTTCGTTCCTCCCCTATTGTTTTCCGAGTCGCCAAACTTTTACAATTAATTTAGTTCGAGTTCGCTTCGGTGATCGAATCGAATTCTGTTCGCGTGCTGGAAGCGCTGTCCGCTTACATTTCTTGCTATCTTCCTTTCTGAGTTTGTGGTGCAATATGTGCATTTGTAGAGCTGCTCCTCACATTCAAACAACATTGGATGAAAGATTTCTTGTGCGATTGTGATGGCGATTTCCATATTTCCATTCATGATGGCTCTCAGATTCGTCGTTCATTGATTGGTCTCAGCTCAGTTGCTGGGAATGAGTTTCAACAGATGTTTGTGTCATCGGAAGAATGTCCTTTGGGGGATCATTTCAGTCTTTTTAGAAGGAAAAATGTTTAGGAGCTCTGATGCTCTTCATTCTCGAGCTGGTTATTGTACCAGTGGCGAGGAAAAGGATGGCATCCTCGTGCTGTCATCTAGAGGCAAAGGACAGCCACAGGGCTTATGTCCGGCTGATTATTGATTCTTAGTTTCATTTTTTTTTCCTGCAGAGAACAGTGTGAAAGTCCAGTGGCGAGGAGAGCATACATGGCGCAGCCCTATCCTGTCATCTAGGGGCAAAGGGGCCCCACACGGTTTACGTTTGGCTCTTTAATGTCCAGTCACGGTACAGTAGTTTCTTCTCCGAAGAAGTCTGAAAGTTACTCTGTGTTTTCCACATGCCTCTGCATTTCTTTGTGTAGCGTCAGATGATCTTGTCTACTTGCGTCTTGACTTGCTTAAGTTTGGATTTTTTTTTGTTTTTTTTTTATAGGTATTTTTATTATTTATTTAGCTTTTGAGTTGGGTAGGATTATTAACTCGTGGCTGCGTCTTGGCAATTAGTCGATTGGCGAAGTGAGAATTGACTGCGTGTACGAATTCCCTTTCAAGTTTGGACCACGAGTTGGGGCTTTGGTTGTTGCAGTTGCCGACGCGTTGCTCTCTCTCCTTCAGACAGGACAGGATAGGATAACCCGTTTCGTACAAGTTGGCCCCATTGGAGCTCCTCCGAGATAGGCGAACGAGTTGTGCCTGCATGCGTGCGTTCTGCTCTGCAACAGGCAGGCAATTGTCCTCAAAGTGTGGGGCTTCTTCGGCATCTCTTTTCTATGGAAAAGCGGGCCCCGGGTAAGTTAACCTTGAGAATGCTTGGGCACTTTGTGATTGATTTTCGAGCAGGTCGTACTTGCCGTGGCGAAAGCACGCTGGTTTCATGCGAGGGTTTGTGAGGGTGAGTGTGTGTTCTCTCCTCCAGCAAGCGCAGAGTTTTTCGCAACTGCTTTACGGCATCTCGTGGAAGACCGCAAGCGGTTGATGAACATAGCACAGGTGTTGCTTTATTTAATTTATTTATGTTTTACTTTGCGAGCTTAGAAAAGGAAGAGGACCTTGTAGGACTTGGCCTTTACGGACTGCTGTTTCCTTAGCTGTTGGCACATGATGGGGGGGGGAGGCAGTAGCGCGTTATCCTTTTAGGAGTTTGACAGATGACGGTGACGTCTCATTATCGCGGTACTCGGTTGCAGGTTGTGCACAGAGGCCTCGTTTGTTGCGGAGAAGGGTGTTTTCCAGCAGGGAAAAGACGAACACCGGACGTGTCATCGTGGAAAAGTCAGTGACATCTCATTATCGCGATTCTCGGGTGCAGGTTGTGCACAGAGGCCTCGTTCGTTGCGGAGAAGGGTGTTTTCCAGCAGGGGAAAGATGAACACCGGACGTGTCGTCGTGAAAAAGTCGAGTGCCACGAAACTGCAAGAGTCGGAAGTATCGCTGTCACCATTGATCTGCAAGAGTCCGAAGCATCAGTGATCGTTGATGATCTCCTGAACAAGGAGATTATCAGCCATTGGAACTAGGCAGGGAGGGGAGGAGGGGGGGGGGGGGGGGGGGCCGAAGACAGCCTGTGAAAAATAGCTTCTGGCCTGTTGAGCCTGACTGGGGGAGGAAAGCAGCACTGTGCAAAGGGAGGCAAGCGAACTGGCTCCCTTGTGAATACGTGCGTTAAGACGGGAAATCCCAAAAGGTGAGTGAGGGTGAAGAGGTCAAACGGGGTAGAGGATGTGAATAGTCCTGTCCTATCCTACATTCCTACATAGCCCCTCGCTCCGCTGCACAACACTATACACAAATCTGGACAGACTGTTGACTACATGCGTTTGGTCTTATCCAACATTTGGAATGAATTGGTACAATTATTAGGTTCAGATGCGTTTTTGTACGAGCTTGTGCAGTGGAGTGAGGCCCATTGTAAGAGGTGCTCACTACTTTGGGTTGTGTGGGTTGAAGCGGGGATCTTGCTGGTCCTCGGGTGTTTAAGAATGTCGAGACGGATTTGTTGTTGTGGATAACTTGTCAACGACACTTGGCTGAAGCACATTTGTATCGTATCATCTCTCTCTCAGCCGATTGCAGTATTCGATGTGCGTGATGGCTGTCTGATCGCTCTTGGCGTTGGCCAACTTGAAAAGAAAATTGTTGCAATATTTGATAACACTTGCTTGGACATGAAATACTGTGACATTCTGTAAGAATTTTTTTTGCCACGTGGCGGTTTTCTTACACCGTGCAATCCCAAAGGTGTGCGCCGTTTGGGAATTTTGGAGGTGTCATCCAGTGCCGTGGAGAATGTGTGGACCATCGTGTGGTGGTGGTGGTGGTGGGCCAATTGTGAAGGGGCTGCATGCAGTGCTACCATCGGAAGGAACTCAGCTGTTGTGCGTGGCACTGCTGATTGGAGCATGAGGATGTTTTGAAACGCCCACACCTTGCATGGTACCCCTCCCCTCTTCTCCCCGATGTGGCTGCGCGGAGCGCACAAGAAATGCTGTCATTGTTATGGAGCTCCACAGGGCCCACCTCCCTCACCCCCAATGCCCACCCGCATCCGCTTGCCCCCTCCGCATGCGCGTTGCAGAAACCTTGGGGCGTTGGGGTTTGAGGCCCTCTAATATTCCGTGACGGATACCCGAGTCTTGTGTTGGTCGGATGCAAGCCCTCTGAGGGCTTATTTGTTTTTTTTTGGGTTCACTTTCAGATGCAAGTGACAGCTTACGCGGATGGGTCTGTAGACACCAGATATTCATATGCAGAGAGGTGGCCTGCCTTGTAATCTGATTATCATTGTCTATATGTTGTGTGATGGACTGAGGTGGATACACACACACCAACACACACACACACACACACACACACACACACACACACACACACACACACACACACAC